ATTGTGGAAGATGTTTTTCTTTGAGCTGAGTTCTTTATCTGGGCCATAGCCACGTGTGGGGCTGTGTGTAACTGAGGGGATAAGAAAGAAAGGGTCATGCTGTGGTTTATGGTTTGGTGGTGGAAACCTTAGACCCTTCTTGCTGCCAAGACAGTGCATTATCAAGCTGTGGCCTTGCACATTCCTTGGTATAGAAATGCATGGTCAGAGCATGCAGACTGGTTTAACGCTCTTCTGCTGTGCAGCTGCAGGAATGTTTTTGGAGTGAGTATAGACATTGCAAACTTGTGCTAGCCTTGGTACCGTTTACAATGAAGCCACAGTGATGTGGGGCTTTGGCATAAACCGGCTTCCCCACCCCCTTCAGGATTCTCTGTATTTACTTAGGCAGGCAGGTCTGAGCTGCTGTGGCTTCGTCGCTCTTTTAGTGGGATTAGCTGGGGTACAGCTCGCTTGGAAGCTTCTCTGCATGCTGCTGTTAAGCCTCTCAAGCAGCTATGGATGTTGTGATGCTGTGAATGTATGACACTTGAGTCACTGTGTGGCCCTGGATTAGATGCAACTGGTCTTTTTAATTTGAAGTTAGTTTCTTTTTCTCTTCATGCTGGCAAGGTAGTTCTCTATCTTGGTCTCGTACTCTCAAAGAAAGCATGTGACACACAGCAGGAGAGGGGTAGGCAACAGGACAAGGCCACAGTGCTGCTCTGCAGTCACTGAGTACAAGGAAATTTGTAGCTAACTGCAGGTTTGTTAGATTGCTCTTCTCCCAGCCAGGAGAAATTTGATGCTGTGAGGGAGGGGAGTAGTTTAGAAGAGGTAAGGAACAGAAAAATAGAGGAAAGGAATGTTGAGTTTGAGTGCACCAGACTGAAATGAAGGTTTGGGGAGGTGGGGGGATGGAAGCAATAACTGAAGAAGAGAATTGTGGGGCAGGTTTATAAAGATTGGAACAAAGCAAGGCCAGGAGGGTTACTGTCATCAGAACCAAAAGGTGGAAGTAATCTTTCTTAGAATCATAGAATCACAAGGTTGGAAACGACCTGCAAGATCATCTAGTCCATCTGCCTTCCCATTCCTATTAGTACCACAAGCTACTAAACCATATCTCATAGCTCCTCATCCAGGTGCCTCTTGAACACTGCCAGGGACGGTGACTCCACCACCTCCCTGGGCAGCCGTTGCAGTGCCTGACCACCCTCTGAGAGAAAAAGTTTCTCCTAATGTCCAACCTAAACCTCCTCTGGTACATTGCACATGATGATGTGCTGCTGCAGGAGTGGAGTAAGGGAATATCGGAGGGCCAGTGGCAGAAATAGTTGCTGTTTAGTGATGAGAGGGCACATTTTGGTCAGTCACAGCTGCCAGACTTTCTTATGAGGCTGGGGGACAGGGACTCTTACAAGCTGCCAAAAGAGAAAAGCTGCTGCTGAGGTGAGGGAAGCTTGAGCATTTTGTTGCTCACTGTCACCTGGCTAACAGAGGACAAGCCTCTGTAGGGTTAAATGGCCACATGGCTAAGCCAGGTCCCTGTGCCCAAAGCAACACTGGTGCTCTGCTCCCTGAAATTGCTTACATCTACAGGAGGGTCACCCAGAGCAGCTGGGAATGTCCAATGAGCTCCTGGCTCCAATCTCTTTGCTGTAGTCATTCTGCTGCCAGGTAGAGCCTGAACAGCCTGTGCAGAGTTGTGCCTGCCTGTAGGAGATCCAAATAACCTCGTTTCCCTAGCAACAGTGGTCCCTTTAATCACAGAGATGCGAGCCTACCTCTGTTATTAGTGTTAGGACTTGCTCAGTGTATCTTGCTAGAGTAATACTTTGCTTCTGTTGGAATAAATGGCGGAATAAAAGCAGGAAGGTCTGTCTGCCTCAGAGATAATTAAAAATCTCCATAGGTGGATTTCAGTGCCCTATGAAACACTAATAGGAAGAAGAGGGATTATAACTGTTTCTAAGCTTTTTGAATGTGTTACAGATACTACACATACAGTTTTAAAGTTTTACATTCTGCATGGGGCTTTCTCTGCACATATCTTGTGGCAGTCTGTGAACTGATGGGCTGGCTCTTCATTCCTTGCTGAGAGGTCTTATTTTCATTTTCATGCATGGAGAGACAAAGTGAGTGATGCAAAGGTAAAATGAATCTTTATGCAGTGCTGGGAATAAATCTCTTCTTCCTAACCTAAGTCTTCCATCTTCCTTTCCTTTCAAATGATGATTTCCCTGTGTAGTAGGAGACAAAATGTGTTATGGAAATTAGAAATACAAAGCCTGCTTCTTAGTAGGAGAAAGTGAGGAAAGTGAAAATACTGTGATTCCCTGCAAGCCTTTCTGCTGATATATTCTACATGGAGTTTACTTCTCCATTAACAGAAAGGGAGCAAACTACACAATTGGGAAGCGAACACTGGGAGTGAATGAAATATTCCTGCTTTTGTTTCTGCACAGCAAACAAGTCTTGTTACTGTATGTGTGCAGGAGAAACTGGTTTTAAATAGGAGTTTGAAGAAATTCTTCCTTGATCAAAGACATGAAGCTGACATAAACACCCCGTACTGATGTTCCTCTGTGGATAAAGCAAGTGTTAAATTGTCAGCAGAGTTTTTCAGGCTTCTTGGGTTAGAAAGCTGAAGGAGGGATAATTCAATGGAAATCAGGTATCTGCATTCCTCCAGTGAATTTGCCTGGTGTTACATTTTTATTTATTTATTTTTGAATGTGACATAAATACTGTAGAGGTGGAAGGAAGAAGGATGATTGTCTCCCACCTAAAATTCTAATTTTTGGAGTCAGAATGGTCCCTAAACACGTCTTGTGACACAGAAGACCAATCATCTTGTGCATGGTGGAGGTTATATCTGCTGATTTCTTTCTTTACCTCTTTGAGAATTGGAATGCAAAGGCCATGATATCTTCTCTTCTGTATTCTTTTAGCTAAAGGGCTCCTGACAATTCAAGCATGAGATTTGTGATTTGTTTGGCCTTGCTGATATGCGGGCATTATCCAACTTATCTAAAATCTCTTTTGTTTGTGACTGATCATCCTTACTTTAGCACCTCTATTTCAAGCCTCCATTTACCAAATTAACTTAATAGGATGAGTTCTAAACAAGTAAGAAAATCTGGGAAGTCTCTGACATCTCAATAAAAGTCCACTCCAGCGAATATGTACTATTTCTTTTCTTTTTTTTCCTTCCTCTCCCATTCCCATTCCTGTGGTCTTGCACAATCTAAAAGTCCTTTGAGAAACGGAGGGCTTGAGCACAAGGTAATACCATGAGAGAGTGGGTGACATAAAACTCATTGAGCTTGTTAAAATAATATTGCCATGGTCACTCAGCAGCCTGAAGGCCACATATACAGCATATATTTAGCTGGGTGGTATTTGCTACAAATTGAGACAGAGGCTCACTTCTACAGTGAGTTTATTGTTGGGTTTTCGGTATATTGTTTGCATAAATTCCCTGGACCAGCTCTCCCTCCTGAATAAACCACATGGATCAAGTTTTATTCTGTTTCACTCAAAGTTCACATCCTTTGCTGGAATGAGTCATGCTTTAACTGAGTTTACTGTGAAGGAGGAAAGTGGGCTTTAAAATGTTACTCCTCCACCCTGCCTTGGTGATGTATAACAGGATTATTAGTATGCTTGGCAGCTGCTGCTTATTATTTTTGCAGAACCTAGATATGTGAAAACAAGTAGAAACTAGTTCTACAAGTAAAGATTGAGTTCCAGTGTGAATTTAATGCAAATTTTTAAACTTTTTAAGACCAAAAACAAACAAAATCCTTGTTTATGGCTTTGTCCTCCATAAGGCTTGGCTGCTGCAGTAGAAGTGAATCTGGCTTGTCTGCCTTTAGTTATTCCTCAGTTTGGGGAGAAGAGTGACAGTCGATGACCTGTAGCTGAAAGCAGCAGAGAATTCTCCATGGCCTGGGCATGGCTATCACTGCTCACACTTCTGTACACTGACAGGTGAAAATGCATCACACGTGAAGTATCAGCAACATGCAGAGTTGCTCCCACCCTCCCTTGGGCATGATAGATGTGATTCTGTGGCACTGTGCAGGAAGCAAACGTTCATCCTCTGTGTGTATTTGTGCAGAGAGGTAAAAGACCTTTTAATTTATAGCACAGGGAGCTGTTCTGTTCAGTGTGTGTCCTCAATACAGGTTTTTGCAGAAACAGTCAAAAGATACCAGAATCAATTTTACTACTCATCTTTCCTGCAGAAATTCATTGATACCTCATAAAAATTCAAATGTGGTATAAAGAATCAAATTAAGCATTTTATTTTATTTTTACTTTTGTGGGGTACTGGAGAGAACGAGGGTGATTTATTTGCTTAGGGAATTAGAATTGAGGAAGGCAGCCAATAGAAAAAGGACTCTTAGAGTTTTGTTTTTGGCAGCAGGCCTGTTCACTTGACATGTAAGACCTTTCTTTCCTAGTCCTCTTGTTCCTAGGTCTGAAGAGAATTACAGAATCATTGAATCATTTAGATTGTAAAAGACCTTCAAGATCATCAAGTCCAACTGTTCATTTTCTGAGCTATGCATTATTGATGATTGCTAACCTGTCAGGGACATCATCTGTTCATTTCCATGGAAAAATAAGAACAAAACAGAGGCTGTTACCCCAACCCACTACATTCATAGACCCAGACTGTGTAACTTGTATGGAACCTGTCTGAGTATTTATCTTAATGCTGATAGTTTTGAAGCAAAACTTGGAGGAAAGAGCTGTAATTTCATAAACACCAATGTTAGATATTAGAAAGGACTTTGTCTTTTATGACTTAAAATGATCAAAATGAATATCTGGTGACATGAGTTTAATTAAATTTATGCTTCCACTTGATCTATATTTAACTATCACTGATTCTGTGATTACTTATCAGTAAACTAAATAGCTGAGATATCAACAGTGCTGTGGTTGACCAGCCTGTTTCATATCCCATTTGGCTCTGACCAGACAGATTTTTCTCCTGTGTTTTGCAGATGCTTCATTCAGTGGCACACCACCCAGCTATGCGTATGATGCAGACCGTGCTGAAGAACAGAGGCGACATCATGATATGATGCCCTACATCGATGACTCACCATCATCTTCCCCCCATCTCAGTTCCAAGAGTCGAGGCAGCAGAGACACCCTATCTTCAGGGTCCCTGGAATCTACAAAATCAGTGAGTTCCTTTCCTGCCTTTTTGGGGTCAATAAAACCTTGTAAAGTTGGAAGGAGTAGACTGCTTTAAGGGGGAGGGGGGCTGCCAGAATGGTAAGAAAGACAGATTAGTTCATACAGTATCAGTCATGTACTACTATACTGTATATTTAATGTTAAATTGAGACTTCTGACTGATGTTCAAGCTAAACTTCAGAAATAAATGTTCTGTGTATGATTTTTTTAACTCATTTTTTCACACTTTGAATTTTATTGAAGTAAAGGGATGCTTAAATGCTGCTAAGAGGTCTCTAAATACCAGATATTTTGGAAGAGGGGATTCTGGACCAAAACATCCTAAAGTATAGGTGCATTTAGGGGTCTGTGTTCATTGTGTGCATCTCTTTATGTGGGTTGTCATTGCCTTTCGCAAGGAAAATCAGTTTCAGGTACTTTGAAGGCTTTGATAAGGTATCTGGAATATACAGTCCATTTCTTTTGCCCAATGGAAGTGGAATAAGGAGAATTAACACTGTCAGCTCTAAACTGGAGTGACTTGTGTGGGAGATGGATGTTTATCATAAAAACTTTTCCTGTTTACTAAATGCATATCCATATAATGTCTTCAGAGCTTTTTATCTATCAGAATTGACTGAGTAGCTTGATTTGTGGTTTTTGTATGGCCATTCAGGCTATTTTGCACTATTTTTGCATCAGGGGCATGGCTATTGTTTAGAACTTGATGAATTTTTTTCTGTTGTTTATTGCATTTTTTATCTTGACATAGAATCTACCACTTGCTTTGGTAAATAACTACAAACTGCTCTCTTTAGTCAGAAATCTCTTACATTTAACTTGATCTGTTTGCCTTTCAACTGTAGTTTGCCATTTTTATCCTTTTGCTTTCAAAATTGCAGAGCACTTCCATACCAAATTGGTGTTTCTTTGAAAATCTTCGTCATCTGCAGACTTTTGGTTTCCCCAGTTCATTCATAAAAATACTTAGTAGCACAAAAACAACTCTTAGTTTCTTCCTACTATGTTTCTAGGACAGTGTAGCCAACCAGCTTTGAATTCTCAATTTGCAAATGACACTTTGAAGTCTGTCATTTGAGTTGTTTAATTTGTGTTGAGTTTGTATGGTTCTGTCCTATTAATTAGAGTGTCATGGGAGGAGATGATGGGTATTTTACAGGTATCAATATACGTGTAAATCAACACCTTTATCAGACAGTTTTATTTATTTTATATCAAAATGATTTCCAGAGTCTGACAAGTTCCACAAACCATTGCTATTGAGCACTCATTTTATCCATCCTTCTATCATTCTTTCTTGGTTAGTGTCACATCATACGTTTCCTTACTTCTTCCAGGATGAATGTTAGATTATAAAGACTACTTGAAAGTATTCTAGTTCTTCTCCTCAAGGTCTCTTAAAGCATTATCAAGTTCATATACTGTTGATTTGTTGTATTTTATTTGAACATAGTGTATGGAATCTAGCTAGCTGCTTCTGCTTTAGCCTATTAACTCTGAGATGCTTTTTTTTTTTCTAATTGCTCGGGATGAGAACTCCTGTGATATGGAAAAGCCTTTTGAATGAAGAAATGATCATTAATAATTTCAAAAGCTCCAAGAATATCTTGATATTGGCTTGAGATTTTCAGGTTATGTTTCTTAGATTAAAAGGAAAATGCAATTTGACATCATATGGCTGAGTCAAAGAACCCACTGTCACATTGTTTGTAGCTGGAGGCCTGGAAGAGAAACTGCCAAATGTTCCATCTTGGTCTTGATTTATTTGAATATCATCTCATAAGCATTTAAAAGTAGATAATTTAGTGTTCTCCTAACAATGCTAGAAGACTACCTTTTAAAAAGAATATTACTTATGAACAGCTGCTTTCTTCTCTCTGACTATAAAAAGATTCTTTGTTGTTTCCAAAAAATGGAGGGATACCGAAACAGATTAAAATTAAAATAATGAACCTCGACTGCTTCAGCTGATCGTGGCTGGAATTAGTCCACAACTGACAATGCTATCTATGAATGAAGGTTCACAACAAGGAGGAAGAAATTGGTTTATAAATGGTTATGCTATTTCCTAAACAAGTTAAACTTTGACACAAGTTGTTAGATGAGCTTTATGGTAATTATGTTTTCAGCTGTAGTGGAAAAGACATCAGTAACAAAATTAAGTGTCATATACTTTGCAGTGTATTAAAACCGTGTTGGATCAGAACCCTGAAATACCAGGATGCAAGTTTTTGTTTTTTGTTTTTTGTTTTTTTCCTCACTACACCTCATTAGCAGAAAACATGTTTGTGTGCTTGCTTTTATAGTAGTCCCTTGTTCTGTCTTCTTACGTGCCTGCAGTTATTTAGATTATCATGGCCAGAGTCTAGAAGTCAACAGCTACTGTATATAACAGCATGACAGTTGTGGTATATATACTGTTTTGTTGAAATATTAAATTTGTAAGGTTGTTTAAAAGTTAAAAAATGACTGACTGTGCAGTCCTGCCTTGTGCAGTAGCCTTGAGTCTTTATAATTAATTTCAATTACACAATTATCCTATTTTTTTATATAGTTTTCCTGTGTTATTTAGTGCATGTAGTAAATAATACTCACTGGATTCAGTATTTTATTGCTGTGTATGCGGGATGCTTTCAACTTAGTTCTGAGTACACAAGTACTCATTTCCTTTGGACATGACCATTAATTCCAAATACTATTGGAATGCTATGCAGGCTTTAATTATCCCTGCAGTGTTCCTGTGAGATAAGAAGATATCGTGTCCACTTATCACAGGTAATGAAGGCAGAGAGATTATAGGAAGTGCATCTGCTCATTTTGAGTCCTTAATGTGAGATGTCTGATGTTACACAAAACCAGCTTCCAACTTTTAATGTGTTCTTTACGTTCAAAGAGAAATTCCTTTAATTTCACTTGCAACCAAGGGCTAACAGCACTTCAGTCAGACACCCAGATGAAAAGCATGCAAACAATGATGTATTTTTTTTAATGTGATCATGACCAATTCATTTAGCATCACAGACTCAGCAGCATTCTGATGTTGTTCATTGGCCTTATTCGTCAGAACAGTCTTTCTTTTGGAGATCAGATCATTGATATTTGAACATTGAGGGCATTGTTCTTTGACATATTTTTATGTCAAAGGGATTTATATATATATATATTTTTACCAACTGACTAAATCCTTCTGTCTTCTGACAGAGGCTGTAGTGTTTGGTTGGATAGCGTGGCAGGCTGGCCTCCATTTGGTTACCTAGCCAACGTAGAGAAGATGCAGAGTGACAAAGCAGTGTCTTGTTCCTAAAGAAACCAAGAGGATACCTCCTGGACTACGCGTGGAGGGGCTTCATGTTCCTCAGCCTGGGAGGTGACAGACTCCCAGCACCTCGTGTCCTTTGTTCCAGGAAGTGAGGGCCACAAGATGACTTCCAGAAGGTTGCTGTTGTCAATCTTTGTTACCTAGGATCTATTTTTCAATTCGCTCTTCTGCTTACATCATCTAAATAGACTAAAAGATGCTGACTGCTCTGCGTTCAAATTGTACAAATTCAACTGCATTTTATGTATTTCTATTTCACCTGCTTTGTGTCCATCACTTGAACATATGCTTCTATCCAAAGAGGGTGATGAGGGACACCAGCCTTAGTTTTATCTTTCATTGAAAGAGGATGTAAACAACGAGGGCATTTCTGATGTGCATCTCAACATCCCAACTCATCATTTTTGTAGTGAGGAGGCCTTAAAAGATGTTTGCATTGAGCAGTTCAGGTTGTACCCCTCTTCTGGCTCTTCCAGAATCTCATGCTGAGATGTGAAAGCATGTCTGGCATAAAGCCAGTGTTTCTGCCAAACTTTGTTGCTCTGAAGCAAACCTACAAGGGAAAGATGAAAAGGGAAGAAAAGGGAAAAATAAATATGAGTAGTTTGTTTATTTAACTTGAAAGTTATATGATTTTTTCCAAACAGTTAAACAATTATTATTGAACTTTCCAAAAATTCTGGAAACTTTTGGAAAACGTCAAACCGAATGTTTGCCAAATGAGACACAACTGGTAAGTCCAGAAGGTGTCAGACTGCGTAATGGGTAGTATTAATTCAGACTCTTAGAGCAGAAAGAGCAAGAATGTTTCTGTTCTATGCATAAAGTCAGACTAAGAGATGAAGTGGAGAGCTATGAAGGGTAGGACAGAGGAAGACGATAGCACCTTTCTCTAGAGGAGAGTTTATTGCCTAGAGCTTGGGGTAGGTAGGTTGTTTGAGGCTAAAGGCACTGAGAGAGTATGGGAAGCTTTGGTCATGGGGATCCCTTGCTACTACTCGTGTGGGAAGAGATTAGAGCAATGGAGAGGGTAAAGGTGAGAAGACCTTTCAAAGATCTGCTTGCCAACAAAGACAGGCTCTAAGACATGGTTGGATTTAAGGGAATTGGGCTCTGGAGATGGGAGCAGGACAGTCTCCCACCTGAAAATGATAGCTGTCACTCTTCTAGAGGCTTAAGAGATGATTTTTTTTAATTGAATATATTTTTTACCAAAATGGTTTTCCAGTTTTTGTATGCATTGCTCCCTGAGAGGCAGGAATGCTGAAGCTGAGCAGCTAGTTCCTAGTAAGAACATGCTTAACACCTTGATTTTTTTGAATCAAAATTTAAAGTGCTTCAACAAAATTAAAATGCTGCTCCTCTGTATACTGTGAGATGTTAAATTGTTCTTTAATGAAAAGATAATAATACAAATATGTAGAGTCTATCTTTTGTTGTTCGCTCTGTTGTTTTCCAGTTAAGTCTAGCAGAGTGAAAAGGCTCTGGGTCCTCAGACCGTGGAGGGGAATGAAAACTGGCATGTCTATGTAAGCTTCCTGTCAGGACCTGTCTGGAGCAGAACAGTCAAATTTTGCTTCATCTGACTTTTTTTATTTGCAAAATACGAGGAATGTGTACTGTTTGTCCTTCTAAAGTTGAGTTCTGACAAACTGGGAAAGCACAGA